ACAATTTTATAGTTTTGATAATATATTCTTTTGCTGTATTTATTTTACTTTCAACGTAATCTTTATATTTATACCTTTTCTGGCCTAATTTTCTTAACGTTATCTGTATGTCTTGTAATTGCTAATACATTAATTCTACATTGTCTAATAGAATAGAATAGAATGATTTTTATTCAATATGGATTATTACATAATACTTATTGAAAGTCATTATTTAATTTACCACTGGTTCGGAAAATACCTCTGTCCTGGGAAGAACCAGCAAGAAACCCAGCGGGACTTTTTTTTAAACATAATTTCACTTAACAATAATTTTGTTTATACAATTTTAAATGAATGAAAATAAAATTTTAAATGAATTTTCATAGAATCAGCATGGTGGCGATCACCTATTCCCAGGGGTTATTTTCATTCATGTATTCCTTGATATTATAATAAACCTTTTTGTACAGTTTTTCTTTAATAAAACTTTTAAACTTGTTTATTGACAAACTTTGAACATGTTCTGAGATTCTGTTGTAAAAGCGTATACATTGCCCCATAAATGAATTACTAATTCTGTGGAGTCTAGTAAGTGGCATTACAAGCTTATGTTTGTTCCTAGTGTTTAAGGTATGAACATCCTTATTCTTATTAAAGCTATTTATGTTTTTATGTACATACATTACATTTTCATAAATATATTGCGATGCCAAAGTTAATATGTTTATTTCTTTAAATTTTTCTCTAAGGGACTCTTTACAATTTAGATTATAAATCGCCCGTACGGCTCTCTTTTGCAAAACAAATATAGCTTCAATATCAGTCGCATTACCCCATAGCAAAATTCCATAAGACATTACGCTATGAAAGTAACTAAAATACACTAACCTAGCTGTCTCAACATCTGTGAGACTTCTAATCTTTCCTACAGCATATGCTGCATAACTAAGTCTGCTTTCTAATTTAGATATATGGGGGCCCCATTGAAGTTTCGCGTCAATAGTAATACCGAGAAAAACAGTGGTATCCAATAGCACTCATTATTAAAAACAAAACGAAAGATTATATATCTAGCTGGCACACGTAATGCACAATACAATTTAGCAATAAATTGTACCTTAATGTTGCACCATAATTTTAGTAGAAGACCGTCTCATCACATTAAAAAATTGCAGCAGGATCTCAGAGCTCACACGACTGATATAGCCCTGCCATCCTGGTCCCTGGCTGGATAATCTCAAACGCATCCTCCTGTATGTAGTATCCTCCAGCATGTATCTCTCTTTGAATTAAGTTTTTATAGCATCTTCTGTATTGCCGATAAGCTAACTATGCAAACGCTGCAACTAGTATTGCCGGCACCGTCGAGAGCCATATGTTGTTAATCCAGATGTGCTGAGCAGCCTGTGCACTATTGGTTCCCACGACACTGCGCGATAACAATGTCCATGAGCTCCGATTTTGATTGAGATTTGCCCGTTTTCGTAAACTTCACTTGCACTATTATTCTCCAAAACAAAATATAAAAAATTCCGTCGTACTTGCTCGCACCTTTGTTGGTAAAAAGACGCCGCCCCATTCACGCTTTGGCTAAAGTCTAGTTCGCAAAATGTGCATGCGCTGCAAATTGTGTCACATACGCAACCGCGGAGGCAAAACGTCCGCGCATGGCAGGGTCGCCATAAAGGTGCGGGGATTATCACATGATACGACAGCTTTGCAAAACGGCCTGTTTATTACTGTTCCACAACTTACAATTAATATTTATTTATATTAACCTTCTAACACCACTAAACTTATCGACGCAATCTGGTCTTTCCAGTGCGCCTAAACACCCTTCCTAAATACCAGAATGGCAGCTTAAAATCCCGCTCTCTAACTGACGCGTTCTTTAATTTGAACGGCCCCAGAGACCAAAAAGACGAGATCGCGCTCTTTCTACGCAACCACGATGTAGACGTAATGTTAGTGCCAGAGACTTTTTTGAAACTTAGCCATCGCGATCCTAAAATAGCAAACTACATCTTAGTTAGAAATGATAGGCTGACCAGCCCTAGAGGCGGCACCTTGATCTACTACAAAAGGTCCTTGCACTGCGAAACAATCGACGTTAACTAACATAGAAGTTTCCATATGTTTTCTACGTGGTAGAGCCATGCTGCAGCTATATTAGTAGTATAGTTGTAGTACGAATGGGTCGGCTCAACCGGGAAAGGACCACGCTCTCACAGAATACCAGCGTAAAATAGCAGCTTAATGCTGCTGTGCTTCGTATGGTGAGTGTAGAGAACTGGAGACCCTTTTACTGGAAATGAGGCATTCCATCTTGGTCCTCACGGGTGACAACGCATCTGCATTTTGTTTGATGTCAATTTCTATGGGCCACAGCAACCACTTACCATCAGGTGGGCTGTGTGCTCTTTTGTCACCCTTATTCTATATAAAAAAAATGTAAAGTAGCCCTCTCCGACCACTCGCCACTCACTATAATTTCAGCGTACCTAAAGCCACTCAAACGCGTAATCGAATCTGACATCGCAGATTTACTCAACCTAGGCTCTAGTGTTATAATAGCTGGAGATCTCCACCTGAGACTCCAACCCGCTACCCATTCGCTACCAATCATCAACTGGACGTCCTTGACGTAGCGATACTCAAAGATGTCCGTTTGTCGATAGCATCGATCGAAACTTTTTAAGAACTCAATTCGGATCACAAACCAGTTCTATTGCCACTGGAACAGCCCGCAGGTGAGGTCCTTCAGACCAAAACCATAGTGGACTGGCATAAGCTCGAGGTTAAACTCGAGTGTACGACCTCCCAGCACCTAGAGAAAATTCCCGATAAGATAGACTCGCCCAGGAAGGCCAATAAAGCGATTAGTGCCCTATCGGCCCACCTCAACACTACAGTTGAAGAATGCTCTCGTAGGGTTCGTGTGTTAAGCAAGTGCTTCAAAGTGATATTCGGCAGCTGATTAGGGCGAAGAACGCAGCGGCGGAAAGACATTACGATCACTATCGTGCTACAGATAACAAAATCTGACTGCGCAACCTCCAAAACGAGGTGAAACAGCGCATCAAAGAGTCTAGACATAACAAGTAGGATAATTTGCTGGAAGATATTGAGCCATCTCAAACTGCCTTCTGGTAGTTGACCCGAGCTCTGAAAGCAGAACAATCCTCACCTATATCACCTCTCATCGGGCCAGGAAATCCCGATCTCGCCTTTGACGTTTCTGAAAAGGCCAAATGCCTCGCGGACAGTTTAGAGAGAAATGTACTCCCTCTAGCAAACCGACAGATCCCACTCACCTTACAGAGGTCGAAGCGAAGATCGAGCGTGAGTCTGCACTACCACCTGCGGGCGACCCCTAAGATCCTGTGACTGCCAACGAAGTCACAGAAGTAATCAAAAGCCTTAAAAAGGAATCAGCACCCGGCCTCGATGGCATTAGCAACAGGGTACTGAAGTCTCTCTCCGCACCCCTCGTTTGCTTCCTAGTAGGCATATTCAACGCTCTTCTTTCCAGCTGCTCCTTCCCGGACGCATCGAAAGAAGCAGACGTAATAGTAAACCCGAAACCGTAGAAACCGCGCAACTTAGCATCTAGTTACAGACCAATTAGTCTCCTCAGCACACTGGGGAATTTTTACTAGCAACTCATATTGAATCGCCTTCCTAAATACGTCTTCACCAACAAACTTCTTCCACAAGAGCATTTCGGTTTCAAACCCGAACACTCATGCACCGACCAATTGCATCGCCTCACAGAATACATTCTGAAAGGATTCAACCAAATTTTATATTCTCACAAAGAAGTTCGAGAACCACCATGACCGGTGCCGTCTTCTTCGATGTCGCGAAAGCGTTTGACAAAGTCTGGCAAGACGCCTTGTTTTACAAGCTGTATAAACTCAACTGCCTGATAGGCTCACCCAAATCATCAGAGCCTTCCTTGCCAATCGCCACTTTTGCTATCGCATTTTTTTTATAGAAGAGGGGGCAAACGAGCATGCGGCTCATCTGATGGGAAGTGACTACCGCCGCTCATGAACAACCGCAACACCAGGGCAATTGCAGATCTCGCCGAGCTCCACAACTCTCTTGCAGAGCTGAGAGCAGTCGTCGTCGGAAGCTATCCCCTCCCCGTGCTTGTCCTCGGGGACTTCAAGGCCATGAACTTGGCTTGGGGTTCTCGTCGTACAGATGTGCGGGGTAGGATGGTGGAAGACTGGGCTCTGGAGACAGGCCTGGTCGTCCTAAATCGGGGTTCTGTCCCCACGTGTGTGCGGATGCGGGGCGAGTCAGTGGTGGACATTTCGTTCGCTAGCCCCGCTCTGTCGCCGCGTGCCATTGACTGGCGAGTCATGGAGGGGGTGGAGACCCACTCCGACCATCGGTACATCCGGTTTGACGTCTCCACCCAGCCCTCGAGCGCGCCAGTCCAACAGGCCCCGAGTGGTCCGCGTTGGGCGCTGAAGCAGCTGGACCGGGAGCTCCTCCTGGAAGCCTCGATCGTGCAGGCCTGGGTGTCATCACCGGATAGGCCTGCCGACGGCAATGATGAGGCAGGGTGGTTTCAGGAGGCCATGTCCGAGATATGTGACGTGGCAATGCCCCACGTCCGGCCAGGAAGCGCCCGGCGTCAGGTGTATTGGTGGTCGCATGAGCTGACGTCTCTGCGCGAGGCGTGTGTCGCCGCGCGGCACCTGTACGCCAGGCATCGCAGGCTCCGCATTCGTCCACCGAATGCCGCAGCCATTGAGGCGGAGCTGTACGAGGGATACAGAGCGGCGAAGACTGCCCTCCGGGAGGCTGTCATGCGGGCCCGGGATCGGGCCCGTGAGGAGATGCTGGAGACTCTCGACAGAGATCCGTGGGGGCGCCCTTACAAGATGGTGCGGGATAAACTCCGCACCTGGGCCCCCCCGCTGACGCAGAGTTTCCGGCCTCAACTCGTGGAGGACGTGGTGAGCGCTCTGTTTCCTGCGCGAGGGGAACATCCGCCCCCGCCTATGGCTCAGCCACCTGCGGTGCCGGAAGCGGACCACCAGGACGACGACGACGGCATCCCGGAAGGGACCGGGGTACACCTGAGAGTGGCGGTACGTATTCTCAAGGCCAGGAATACCGCCCCAGGACCCGATGGCTTGCCTGGCAAAGCCTGGGTCCTGGCCTTGGAGGCTCTCGAGCCCCGACTGGAGGGGCTCCTAAGCGCATGCTTGGAGAGAGGCCAATTCCCGCTTCGTTGGAAGACGGGGAAGCTGGTCCTCATTCGGAAGCCGGGGCGCCCTGCGGACTCTCCGTCTGCATACCGGCCCGTGGTGCTGCTCAGCGAGGTGGGCAAGCTCTTTGAAAGAGTCATTGCAAACCGCCTCGCCGAGCACCTTGCGGGGACGGGGCCGGATCTTGCGGAACACCAGTTTGGTTTCCGCAAGAGGCGTTCTACGGTGGACGCCACCATGCGCGTGAGAGCCCTCACGACGGGGGATGCAGTGGCCAGGGGGGGGGTTGTTTTGGCGGTGTCTCTCGACATCGCCAACGCCTTCAACTCCATGCCCTGGAGCTGCATTAGGGAGGCACTCCGGTATCACCGGGTGCCGACCTACCTCCGTCGTATAGTCGGGGACTATCTGACGGATAGGGCCGTCATCTACCCCGGTCGCAACGGTGAGTGGAACCGGCGAGAGATGTCGTGCGGTGTCCCACAGGGTTCGGTTCTGGGGCCGCCCCTGTGGAACATCGGTTACAACTGGGTGCTGCGCGCCGACCTCCCTACCGGCGTCAGCGTAGTTTGCTACGCTGACGACACGCTGGTACTGGCACAGGGGGGGGTCGTACGAGGCGGCGGCGGAAACTATGACACGCGGGGTTGCGATAATCGTTGAGAGGATCCGGCAGCTGGGTTTTGAGGTGGCTCTGCACAAGTCCGAGGCCATGCACTTCCATGGTCCTCGGAACAGGCCACCACCGGGATTCTCAGCGATGGTAGGAGGGGTATCCATCGGCGTCGAGTCGACGTTGAAGTACCTAGGACTCGTCCTCGACGGCCGATGGAACTTCGTTGAGCACTTCCGACGTTTGGCTCCCAAACTGGAACGGACCGGGGTTGCCTTCAGGCGGCTCCTGCCGAACCTGGGGGGGCCAAACGCCTCCTGCCGGAGGCTCTACGCGGGGATTGTGCGGTCCATGGCCCTTTACGAGGCCCCGGTGTGGGCGCGTGGTTTGGCGCGGCTTGCCGTCCACCACCTGAACGCGCCTCAAACGGTGGTTGCCGTGAGAATGGTTCGCAGCTACCGCACGATCTCCCGCGAGGCAGCGTGCCTCCTTGCCGGATTGCCGCCATGGGATCTGGAGGCGATAGTCCTCGCGCGCCTGCACGAATGGCGCGCGGAGGCACTATGCCGGGGGGAAACCCCGCTGCCGCGGCAAGTTGTCGTGCAGCGGACAGACTTCCGGCATGATCTCATGGCGACATGGAGAGAGCGACTGTCGCAACCCCGTGCTGGGCACGCCACTATAGCGGCGATAAGACCCCTCTTTGAGGAGTGGCTTGAGAGACGCCACGGCGTCCTTACCTTCCGCCTGACGCAGGTCCTCACCGGACACGGTGTGTTCGGGAGGTTCCTGCACCGAATCGGGCGGGAGGAAACGCCCGGGTGCTCCCACTGCGAGGATCGACCGGAGGACACGGTGGAGCACACCGTGGAGGTGTGCCCTGCCTGGGCGGGGCACCGCCGTGTCCTCGTAGCGGCGATAGGCGGCGGCGACCTCTCGCGTCCGGCCCTGGTCGAAGCCATGGTCCGGAGCGAGACGGAATGGGATGCCGTCACCACCTTCTGCAAAGCAGTGATGCTAGCGAAGGAGGTGGCGGAGTGGGAGAAGGAGAGAGCAGCAGCTTTCCTTCCCGGCCGCCGCGGGAGACGCCCCGGGCGTCGGGGGCTACGTCGTGGCCCCCGGCCACCGTAGGCGCGGGCCTGTGGACGGCGAGCAATGGGTAGTTTGCCGTCCGTCTGTCTAACGACGACAGGCCGTGTCGACGGCGCGTTTTGTTCCACGCGCGCCTCAAAGAGCTGTCAGCAGCGTGAAGGGGCCCGCAAGGGCCGACGCCTGCCGGGGCTACGGGCTGTTCGAAAGAGATACCGCGGCTCCGGAACGTAAGGGCACTGAAGGAACACGGATGGTTTTTAGTCAGTAAAAGTCTGACACTCCCTTCCGCTCCACCCAGAGCGAAAGGCGTCATTTGATGATTTTCCATCCGCAAAAAAAAAAGGGCAATTGCAGATGCATTGCCGGCCTTTTAGAAAGGTGTAAGCTCTTTTCTTGAAGGGTCCTAAGTCGTATCGGTACGGAAAATTCGCTGGTGGTAGGGGTAGCCGTGTAGTGGCGGTCAAGAATATCCACTACCCCATATCCTCCCGTGGGTGTCGTAAAAGGCGACGGGGGGAAACAGGCAGGAGATGGGCAGCAGCATCTTCCGGATAATAGCTAAATTACAATAAAAAAAACTGCGGTTGCCAACCCGCTCGCCAAGCGTGGCAACTATGGCAAATACCCCCTTATGAATGACAGCAACAAAGAAACGGCCCCCAGTCCCCGGCGGCCCCGCTATTCCTGGCTACGGTGGCGACCATGGTAACGGCGGGGCAGGGGGTGCTAAGAATCTCCGGTGGAGGTTCGGTGGCCACCTTAGACGACTCGACCTGGCAACGTACAACGCACGCACCCTGAGGACTGACGAGAAGATCGTGGAGCTGGAAGAAGAGATAGACAAGTTGCGCTGGCATATTATAGGATTATCCGAAGTCCGAAGAGAGGGGGAGGACACGGTAATCCTCGAATCCGGCAACTTGCTCTATCACCGGGAGGGCGACCATCTGTCCCAAGGAGGTGTCGGATTTATCGTCCACAAGTCTCTCGTTAACAACATTGTAAAGATCGGGAGTGTGTCGACGAGGGTTGCGTACCTTATACTCAGAATCACCAAACGGTATTCGCTGAAGGTCATACAGGTTTACGCACCAACCTCGGCACACCCCGATGAGGAGGTGGAGGAAATGTATGAGGATATCTCTAGAGCCATGCATTCCTCCAAAACCCAATATACGGTGTTAATGGGAGACTTCAATGCAAAACTAGGCACAAGAGAGAACGGTGAGCTGAAAGTAGGGAAATTTGGAACAGGGCAACGGAACCCAAGGGGCCAGCAGCTGGCCGACTTCATGGAGAAAGAGGGACTCTTTATGATGAACTCTTTCTTCCAGAAGCGGCCCCACAGGAAGTGGACCTGGTCGAGCCCCGACGGTTCCACAAAAAATGAGATTGACTTCATTATGACGACCAGACGACAACTGTTCAGTGATGTCTCCGTGATCGCGAGGGTGAAAACTGGTAGCGATCACCGAATGGTTAGAGGCACACTGAACCTAAACGTTAAGTTGGAGAGGTCTCGTCTAATGAAGTCAACGCTCCGTCCCCCTCGTGCTCTGTTCCAAAGTCCCGAAACCTTTCAGCTCGAGTTACAAAACCGTTTTCAGTGCCTGGAAGACTGCAATGAAGTGGACGATATGAATGACAAGCTCGTGGAAACTGTCCATGCGGTCGGAGCTAAGTTCTGCAAGACCCGCCGCAGAAGAACACAAAAACTCTCCGATCACACTCTTAATCTCATGGCTGTTAGACGGGAGATGAAGCTACATTCTTCAACAGACTTGACAGCATACAGGCATCTGAACAGACAGATCTCCAAATGCATGCGGCGGGACTTACGCAACTTCAATACAGCTCGTATTGAAGAAGCGATCGAGCGGAACCAAGGCTCCAAAGTCTTTGCCAGAGATCTGTCTGCCAGAAAGATCCAACTGTCAAAGCTGAAGACAGAATGTGGCAGCATCGTTTCCGGGACACCTGAGATTTTGAGTGAGATTGAGAGGTTCTATGGGCAGCTGTACACATCATCGTTGGAGCCACACGCAAGTGTGAGTAACGATCCAAGAGCGAGTCTCATCCGACACTATTCCGAAGATATCCCGGATGTCAGTCTGAGCGAGATTAGGATGGCTCTCCAGCACCTTAAAAACGGTAAGGCCCCAGGCGAGGATGGAATTACAGCGGAGCTTCTGAAAGCGGGTGGAAGACCGGTACTTGAAGTCCTTCAGAAGCTTTTTAATTCTGTCCTCCATGGTGGCATTACACCGGAGGCGTGGAGCAGAAGTGCGGTGGTCTTGTTCTTCAAGAAAGGTGACAACGCTCTCTTGAAGAACTACAGACCGATTTCCCTTCTGAGCCGCGTCTACGTGCTGTTTTCGAGAGTCATTACGAATCGTCTCGCACGCAGACTTGACGACTTCCAGCCTCCCGAACAAGCCGGTTTCCGAAAGGGCTTTAGCACCATAGACCACATACATACCCTTCGGCAAGTTGTACAGAAGTCCGAAGAGTACAATTTGCCACTATGTCTGGCGTATGTGGACTATGAGAAAGCCTTTGATTCCGTCGAAATTTGGGCGGTGCTGCAGTCCCTTCAGCGGTGCCAAGTTGACTGTCGGTATATCGAAGTGTTGAAGTGCTTGTACAGTAGGGCTACGATGGCTATCCGAGTACAGAACCAGAATACGAAACCTATCCAATTGCAGAGAGGTGTAAGACAGGGTGACGTCATATCCCCGAAACTCTTCACCGCTGCATTGGAAGACGTTTTCAAGCTTCTGGACTGGAAAGGATACGGTATCAACATCAATGGCGAGTACATCACTCACCTTCGATTTGCCGACGATATAGTCCTTATGGCAGAATCGCTGGAGGACCTAAGCACTATGCTCAATGACCTCAATAGTGTTTCCCAACGGATAGGTCTTAAGATGAACATGGACAAAACAAAGATCATGTTTAATGTCCATGTCACACCTATGCCGGTAGTTGTTGGGAGCACTAAGCTCGAAGTTGTTGACGAGTATGTTTACCTGGGACAAATAGTCCGACTAGGTAAGTCCAACTTCGACCGAGAGGTCAATCGACGGATTCAACTCGGCTGGGCAGCGTTTGGGAAGCTACGACACATCTTCTCGTCAGACATACCTCAAAACCTTAAAACGAAATTGTACAACCAGTGCGTGTTGCCAGTGATGACTTACGGAACTGAGACGTGGTCCTTCACTGCTGGCCGTATGAGGAAGCTCAAGGTCGCTCAGCGAGCTATGGAGAGGGCTATGCTCGGAGTTTCTCTGCGTGATAAACTTAGGAATGAGGATATCCGCAGTAGAACCAGAGTGACCGACATAGCCCAACGGATTAGTAAGCTGAAGTGGCAGTGGGCCGGCCATATAGCTCGAAGAACCGACAACCGATGGGGAAGAAAGGTTCTCGAGTGGCAGCCTCGTACCGGTAGGCGAAGTGTAGGGCGTCCCCCCACGAGATGGAGTGACGACCTGGTAAGACATGCAGGAAGTCGATGGATGCAGGTGGCTCAGGACCGTGCTTTGTGGCATTCTTTGGGGGAGGCCTATGTTCAGCAGTGGACTTGTGAAGGGCTGTAATGATGAGGGGTTCATAGAGGGTACTCGCTCCACAAAGCGCCCGATCAAGGTTGGAGTCCCACAAAGCTACGTTCTCTCCCCATTACTCGTCATACTCTTAACGAGTGACATCCCAAAAGAGCAAACTGGCCTTAAGACACAAGCTCCATCTTTATAAAGCATGCGTAAGACCTATTATGTCTTACTCAAGCGTAGTTTTCGTGCAAGAGGCCTATAGACGCTTGTACGATCTCCAAGTCGCTCAAGATAGATTCGTTCGCATAGCCACCGGAGCCCGGTGGTACCAGCGAACCTCTGACTTACACAGATATTGTCAACTTCAGACGATCTCTGAGTATCTCAAGGAAATGTCT